CAACTGAGTGTATGGGGTCCTATGTTTCCTCAAACCCATCAAGCTCCTAAAAGGGAGGTAGGGGAATGGCCAGGCCTGCACCATCATCTTCAGGACCTCATTGTGTTCCCCCATGAAGGCATCCATGAATAAGTCATGGAAGATCATGGAGGGCAGGCCATGCAGAGCAGTGCTGGCTGTGGTTTCCCTCTTTAGCAGGCTCTGCTTGGCCAGGTCATACAGAGGCGCTGGACTCTGCCTGCTCATCCTGAGATATCTGCAAGGAGAAGGATACTGGGTAACAACCAAGAAATGCCACCTGTTCAGACCAAGCTGAGAGACTGCCTCTAACCCATGAAAACCAACTCAGGGCCTTGGTTCCTGGCCTGGCTCTCATGAAGTGTACTCAGTTTATCTCCATTTGTGTTTGTTTTATGTTTTTTGTTTGTCTGTTTTTTTTCTCTTCTGGTACCAGGATTTGAAATTATGACTTTGCGCTTGCCAGGCAGGCCCCGTGCCACTGAGCCGAATACCTAGCCACTCCATTTGTGTCATAGGTGGTTATCAAGCCATATCTGTGCCCCTCTTCAAAGCAGGACCCCATTATCCTCTCTAGTCCAAGCAACTAGTCCTTTAAATTGCAGTCCCTCTGAGAAGTGTTTCCTGAGTGTTGTGTAATCTCAGTCACTTCTTGTTTGAGAAATTTGTGATCATTGGTTCAAGGCCCTATAGTGGCAATGGAAGTATCATATGTTCCAACCAATTTACCCTCTGCATTCCATCCATCAGGCCGATCAGTAAATATAAGGAAGATTTCATGAAATCACCTTATTTTTTCAATTTATGAAGGTTAGTAAGCAGGTATATAGAGCACACTGAATGCAGAGATGGAAAATCTTAACTGTGCTATTGGATGTTGAAACTCTTCCACGTATGAGAACTTATCACTCTGTGATTGAGTGCAGGACAGAAAACAGACGGAAACAAAGTCTCCAACTTTAATATAGTACAGAGACTCAAACAGTACAGAACACATGTATAATCGCAGCAGTATGGAAAGCCAAGGCAAGAGAATAAGAAATTCAGGCCCAGCCTGTACAATTCATTGACTTAGCAAGAATGACTAGAAATAAGTTTTAGTTTAACTTAAGAATCACTATGGGGAGGTACATGAGTTCACACGGTTTGGTTTAAATCACAGTATCACAAGGAAGAAAAACAACTATGATTGTGATGTGTAGTGGTGTATGTCTGTTATCCCAGTACTCTGCAACCTGAAGTCAGAGGATCACTCCAAGTTGTATGGTAGTCTTGCCTATATACTGAGTTATAAGCCAGCCAAACCTACTTAGTGAGATCATGTATCAAACAATCAAAAGAAGTAACCACAAACTAACAAGGAAAACCACAGGCAACAAGCAAAAAAAAAAAAAAAAAAAAAAAAAATTAAAGGCTTGATGTAAAATATTATATAGATGCTTTTCAAATTTCTGT